CTCTGCCTCTGTCTTGTCTGGTGGAAGGAGTGGATGCGTAGGGAGCGGGAGGCAGCCACACAGCAGCTGGAGGAGGAGGCAGAGGTGAGGAGCACGGTGGGAGGGTTGGAGAGTCACAGGAAAGGGCTGCAACTGGACTCGAGGGCTGGAACAAGCTCTGAAAGTGCTTGTTCCCTGTATTCTGTTCTCCACTAGCCCCCACCCCTGCCAAAAGACTTTAGTCGTGGGTAGAAGATAAGATACAGGAGATGAAGAAATCTGCAATGTGATTGAGGAAGAAATGGTGAAAAACAGTGGCTAGAATTAGAAAGGTAGACAAATGCAAATGGGCAGCGAAATCAAACTCACAATGAGTGTGAGTTAAGGTTGAGAAATGATACTGTGGAGGAAATGTAGATTTGCACTCTCAAACGTCTCCAGATCCAGACTGGAAGCCTTTCTGGGTGCTATTTGGAGATAACTGGTATGTATGTCATGTTCTCCTCTCCCCCTGTAAGGGAGTGAACGTGTGCATGTGGGGACAGGAGGAATGGAGGGGATCTGTGCACCAGTGAGTCACCAGGGGCCCAGAATGACATGTTCTCTGCAGAATTTCTCAAGCCCGGTCTCTGTCATGGGTCCCCACGGTTGTGTTTGGAGTAATTCCAGGTTCACTTCCAGGCGGTGGGAATTTTCTGCAGAGTTCAGAGATAAGACCTTGGTTATTACTAGGGGTGGTTTCCTTTTAATTGCTCTTTCTGGTTGATTTAGTTGACTTCTGGCCTGATCTCTTCCTGGTGTTTGTGTTTTTTTTGTTGTCCCCCTTTGCCCCTCTCCAGAACATCACCAGTGAACCTTTGAGACTGGACTATCGGACCCTGGCTGCTTTGCCCAGCAGTGGCTTACAGAGAGTCAATCGCAATGTAAGTGAGGGGCTACAGAGATGTGGGACCCCGCGTGGGGGAAGCCGTGGTGTTCAGTTACCTGCCCTCTCTTTGTGCTCTGCTGTGAGAGGTGACAGCCCTCTCTGCAGAGGAGAACTGGGAAGCAGAACTGTGGTAGACTTGGACACTGTCTGAAACGCACGCGAGTCAACAGCTTCCTCATTTACGCAATCAGGAGGGGAAAAACAGTGCCCCATTGGTCCCAGCACCTGAGGTGAAGGGGTGAGCACTGCAGAACTGAAGAAGCCCTCATATACGCCTCCAGCCGGGCGGTGCTGGGAATCCTCCGGCCTTTGCGTCAGCGAGCTGGCCCCGCGCTGCCTGGCAAGAAGCCGGACAAATGTCTCCTGCAGGAAGGGGTCTCGTGGCCGTGGCAGGGCATAGCCCCTCGTCCCTGCCTTGGCCAGCCATGGGGCAAGGGCAGGGGGAGGGGGGGGGGGGGGGTGGGGGGGAGAGGGAGGGGATGGGGGGCTTAGCCACAAAAGAAAGATTAGAATAAGAAAATGAGGAGAGCAGAGAGCCAGGTTGCCTTCCATTTCGGAAAAGGAAGTGGGCTTTGTGATTGCCACAAAAGGAAGCGTCTGGAACAAGGCAAAAAGAACAGCCCAGCAGGAGAGAAGGATATGTGTGGATGGGAGAGTGCAGGGGTTTTATCATGGAAGGAAGCAACTGCTGAAAGCTGCAGGGGAGGGAGGGGAAGATTCTTCCTGACACAGAGGATGACAATGCTGTGTGCACAGCTTAGTTGTAGATTCATTGTGGGATGGTGTTTAGAAAGGAGGAGGGATGCAGAGTGCTGATACCAAAAGTGGTGTAAGAAAGTCAAGATCTATCGCTGACTGCAAAAAGCAAAGTGGCAGTCACTGCCTGTCATGACTTAGCCCTGACACAGCCTTGGGTACTCCTGCCCCTGTGACCTGCATTTCAGTCCTTGATACGTAGTGGCAGCTTAGCCAAGAGAAAATCCAGATTCCACAAACTTCACAGATTACAAAATCATCTGTTTCTCCTGTGTTTCACCTCACCTCCCCATCTTTGCTTCCTTTGGTCATGCTTTGTCTTCCCTGTCTCATACCTATTCCAGTGGGCTTCTGCCTGCTCCTTCACACACATCCTCAGTCTTCACCTTCATTCCTTTCCTCCTGTTGCAGCAAGACCACCCTTTGCCGTTGTCACGTTCTGCATTTCCATTCCATTGTTTCAGGATCATCTCTTTTACTTTTAGTGTCTCCATCTCATTCCATCCAGACAGGTCTGTCTGTCCTCCCATTGACTTCAGGCCCTCTTGCTTTTCTGCTTTCACACTGATTAGAGCCCTGCTTTGTCTCTAGCTTTGTGTCGTTTTGTTCCTCCCCATACTCCCCAGCTTGTGGGTTTTCACACAGAAAAATATTACCAGGAAAAGGTTTAACATACTTTTAGCATCTCTTAGTGTAACTTAGTACCTGGAAGAAGTGGAGAGCCAGCCCCACACAAGCAGCTCCCGCTTTGCTGGACAGCCCTGGTGTCGTCCAGAGTAGAGCAGCATTTGGGAACTTGTGCCTTGTCAGTCCGTGTCAGACCAGGAATG